CTGTACTATTTTTTGTATGTACGTAAGTATGTATTTGGAGAGGGGGCTTCGTAACCTTTTGGTCAAGGGCTGGGGGTTATGTCCCAGGTCTTTGTGTATCTCACCAAGCTCCAGCCATAGTGGCCTAAAGCCAAAGTTGGTTATAGCATCTCTCAGCTTCACATCTTCCAATGTAGGACGAGACAGACTTGTGAGTACTGACAAATCATGTACTCCCATATTAGGACTGTTGCAGAGTTCTAAATTAGAAGTTCCAGCAGCTGAGTAGGGTTGAGTCTTGGCTAATTTTGGAGCTCTGAAGGTGGATACTTAAGGTCTGCTCCACATGACACGCCCCTCACCCCATTGCTGGGGAGATACTGGTCTCTGCTGACATCTGGGTCTCAGGGGCCTTTTGAAAATTCTACTTTTAGGGCGAGGAATCTAAATCTCCACAGGCCTCACATGTTTACCACCATGGATGTGAATTACCCAGGATGAGATCTGGAGTGTGGACCTTCCTGTTTGATCAGTTACTGGTATACTCTCAGTTGCTTGCATGGGATGCCAGCAAAGGGGAGGCTCTCTCTCCTCAGTATCCCCAGTCTGGATCGCCCTAGGCACAATTCTCTCATTCTATCTGCACCTGTTTCAATCACCCTGGATCAGGTACCTACTCTGAGACCCACAATCGGTGACTGTTGGGTCAGGCTGGCAACTTTCTTCATGAATCCCCAATCTCACCCTCAGCCCCTTGCTCCATGGTTTCTAAATAAATGAGTCCCGCTGGAAACTCTGGTACCCACTGGACTCTCCACCCCTTAGCCTAGCAATTTTGGTTGCTTTTCACTCAACCACTTCCCCCACCATCTCTGGGTCAGTTAAGGTCAGCCTCCCTCTCTATTCTGCATGTTCCCCAAGCCAATTTTATTTGCTATGCTTTCCTCTCTCTCTCTTCCTATGCTCCCCTCCCCACTATGATGGAACTTACACTGCTGCCAGCTAAGCTAAAATGTATTTCTTATTTTATGTTCAAAGTTTCCAATTTTCTGTGCGTGTGTGATTATTTTATTGTCCAGTGCTGAATTTCAGTGAATCCCCTTAACTGAGAGTACAGTCTTACTGCTGTTTAAATTTTTGGTTGGGGGACTTGTTGGGGGTTGCCATTTTTTCAATTCCCCCTTTTTTTGGTTCTTGGCTTTTTTTTTTAGGCTTTTTTTTCCTATTTAAAGTAAAAAAAAGCATGAGAATGAATAAAATAATTCAGGAAGAGTGAGAAAAGCAATGATTCTTGGTCAGTACCTAAGAATCACCAACATAGATAGGGCAGAGAAAGATTGAGGCTGTAAGTAAAAATGGTATAGACAATTTCCAGAAAGAGTGCTGATCAGCAATTTCAAACACAGCAAGGTGGTCTGGCCAAAATGTTTTCCCTGGGATTCGCAACTAGAGGTCACAGTGACCTTAGAAAATGCATTTTCAATGAATTGTGATCAGAAGACAGGCACCTGGAGCTTAAGAAGTGAATGGAAAACAAGGAAGTAAAGACTGACTCTGAGAAGGTTTGGATAGGAAGCAAAGGGAGAACTAGAAAAACCCAAGAGGGACAGGGAGTGAAGACAGAGACTTGAGTATGTTTCCAGGATAAGGGAAGAAGAGAAGCTACAATTATCTAGCCCTGATATTTATAATGAGTTGCTTTATGGACTTACTTACTTAGGAAAAACTATAGAATTCCATACCTTGGAAACTAAAGGCCAATTTCTAAGAAAATACATAATGGCAATATCCTCCACTTTATTACCTGTCAGGTTAAAAGAACTCCTTGCTCAGATTCCTCCTCTGAAGCTTGAAAATCATCACTTCCAACCTGGTGACTTGGTTTTAGTCAAGACCTGGAAAAAAGAAGACAGGCTTCAACCAAGGTGGAAAAGACCTTACATGCTCCTGATCACCTGAGGGCTATCCAAACTACTTTTAAAGGGGTGAACTCATTACCATGGGAGTCTCCACCTCAAAATGTGAATATGGCCAGGATGAATGGCCATGCCAAATGGTACAAAAACAAAAATGAAAATAAGACCAAAAGCTATAAAAGGAAAAAGGGGGGATTTGTGAGAAAAAAGAAAGCCCAGTGGTCCATTTTCAGAATAGAGTATTTAGCTTTAAATGTAAAATGTCTTGGGATGTAAGCTGGAGGGGAAAGAAGGATGTAAAATTACAAGCAGTTAACACCAAAGAGTAAAAATTCACAGCCCCTTGACAAACAGAAGGTGAGAAGGAAGGCCCCCACCCGCCCCTGACAAACACAGATAAACCAAAAGGCACTCCATCCAAGAGGACTTTCCAACCACAAGGGAACAAAGGAAGGTGGGGACAAATAAAGTTACATTTCTTTAAATAACCCAATAAGGAATAGTAAAACCTAGGTGATGTTCAGGAAGACTGTACTCAGCCAATGAGCAACTGGGGGAAGGATCTTGTGCTTAGGAACAAACACTGACTGCACACAATCTGTGGGTCCCTGACCACCAGGCACCCAATTTTGAAAGATCATCATTAAAGTAAAGCCTCACTTTTTGCTGTATCTTGTGTCTCTTAGTCCATTCTTTAGGCTTGTACAGGTGACCATGTTTCTCACAAACAGCAACCATAACAGATGGGAGTCCCCAGGCCCCACACAATTTCCCTGGATCCTTGACAACCTCAGAATAAAGATGCAATTTCTCATTACTCTAGCATATGGGAACTCACAGGCAAAATTAATTTGCAATTTAGTTTGGAAAATGTAAAGAGGAAATGTAAATGTAAGAAACGTAAAGAGGAAAACTATGCATCCTACTATCTTGACTACTTTCCAAAACTTGATCATTAAAGGAAGTTAGAGGAGCATTATTTATAGAAAATTCCTTTTTCTGAAAGAATGTAAGGTTTCTGTTAAGATGAAATGGCATAAGGACTGAATAGAGAGCCATGAAAAGGGGTGAGCTAGGGAAAGAGATAGATTAAGAGTGATCTGACCCAGGTCTTTCAGGCAGTGTTTAAAGCCCCAAATGAGAATGGATATCATGACATTTCAGTGACGGTAGGCACACAATGGTGTGACTATCTCTAGCAGTGGTCATTCTGGTATAGAAATTAAAAAATGGATGCCTGAACTTCTCCTAAGTTGAAGTTTTACTAAGAGGACACATCAAGAGAAAAATTAGCCTGACCTCCAAAATGCAAAATTTCTGATTCAGAAGTTTTGAGGAAGAGGAATTGCTTTGTTTGTTTGTTTGTTTGTTTGTTTGTTTGTTTGTTTGTTTTAAGTGGAAGACCAGGATTTTAGTCACTTTTTATCATAGTGCAGTATAGTAGAAATCATCTCGATACTTTCCCCAAGAAATGACTCATGGACTTGAACTGCTTCTGACTTGTAACTCTGCCACCTTGGACATCTTTACATCCATCAGGCAAACAGGAAATAAAAAGAGAGGGTGGAGCACCACATCCACCCTTAGTTATCTGAAATGGGAAGAGATACAATATATCCACTCATATTCCTACCAACAGAGACCCAGCTTCAACCTAAACACAAGAGAAATAGAGTCTGTCTTTGTTCCTATAAAGAGGAAAATTATGAGATAAACGGAATATTGACTTAGCCAAAGTACTGGTAGTTAGCACATGAAGATTTCTAATGTAAGGCAAGTTCACACAATGGCAAAGTACCCAGGAATGCTTGGAGGCTATTCGAAGAATGATGCTGATGAACTAAGCGCTAAACTGTTGGTTAGATGGCTATAGTGGACACTGTGGTGTGCAACTCAGATTCTCCAGCTGCAGAGAAACAGCCTTCAGCTATAAGCTGTCAGTGAAATTTCCTCAGCTTTCCCAAGGCCATCTTCCCATCTTGGGGAATCCCACAAACAATGGCTGGTTAACACCGTTATACAATAACATGACTGAACTGGCCTGAACTTAGAACATTTCTGAAAGGCATCCTAGCATCCAAGCGCCCTGTGGAGTTGGTGATATCTCTATGGAGACTGCATCAGAACTCAAGTTTCCCCCTCTGCTCGATGTCTCTTTCTTCCTTCCACTTAAGTAGGGTATCAAGAGTTATTCCCAGTAAACCTCCACTACGTTAATCTCCTGCTCACAATCTGCTTCCTGGGAAGCCAACTGCCTACATAATCTATGAATCAAAGAGCAAACTGAAACTGCAAGGAGCTTGTTCAAGAGTAAGAACTTCAAGATGGCAAAACCAACTTTCATTCAAGGGCCCTCTAAGCACAGAGCTTGATGTGACTGTACAGGTTGCATAGCCCTGAAGCTGGTCCCACAATAACCTCTATATACTTAGAAATTTTTTATTATAGGAGTTGTGGTAGATAGGTCATTAAGGACTCAAGAGGTTGAATTAATCAAGGAAAGAAGTCAGATTATCAGGTCATTGACAGGAAAGGGATTTTGAAGGTTCTAGCTAGACCTAACCCACACAGCAATAAAACAGCCAAGGACAGGAAGCAATAGACAGAAGAATGCCAGTCCTATTCATGAGCTTTTGGCACCTGAAATCTGCATAGAGAGTGGGATCTTCTGTCAAGGACAAAATTTGAGTCAATACAACAAAGAAGGAAGAGAACTCTTATATGCAATTTTTACAGATGCCTAGACTTTATTGCAGAATACATCTAACTAAAATATGGTTGATTTTGTTCAGTTATATGGTGTCTGCTTTTTACACAAATATCACTGTAATAATTGCAATGCCATTTTCTCAGAGCTCTGACACCTGGAACTATGAGAATATCTACTCTAATAGACTTTGATCTATTCATCTGATAAACCACTCCTGTGCAAAAGACCAGTTAATTTTTCTTAATAAAAAGGAAATTCATTTTAATTACAGGGTTGTATTTAACTTGGTAGGTTCTTAATTGCAGGGGAGATTTTAGAGATAAGTGTTTTATTTGCTCTTGAGGATATGCTAGCCCCAGCCTCAGCTGTTGTTTTCTTTTTAGTAAATGTACAATATATTGAAATTGCAGCTTCCAAGGAAGGCTGTTAAGCTAATTATGAAAACAGTCTGTATAATACTAGAGTGTTGCCTCTCTGTGTGTTTTTCATTTGAATTACAAAATTGGTGCCCCTTTGAATGCTTTTGCTTGGTTTGGACCACCAATATCTTTATGGAAGAAATTAGGTGACTATCAAGCATGATTTTTTCATCACTTTGAAGCTAAAACAAGGTGACCAATACCTAAATAATTTGTCCAAGGACACTAATGACAGGAACTGCTGCAGTGTTCAGAATTTCAAATTTATCATTCTCATAGCTAATGGCTACAGTGTTTGCATGACAGACTTCATTTTATCTTCTACCAGAGAAGAGGGGTAACAACAGACTTTACTTTCTCCAAGAGAAAAGGCCTATTCTTTAACTATGCTATCTAAACTGTACAAAAGGAACATCAGAAGATAAAAAAAAGTAGGGGAGGGAGACTAAGAGAAGGGAGAAAGAGAGGCAGGGAAATAACTGGGGAATGTTATATTCTGTGCATGTATGAAAATGTAAAAATGAATCCCACCATTATGTACAATTATAATGCACCAATAAAAATGTGGAAAAAAATAATTAAAGTAAACTTTGTACAAGTTTTTTTTTCCAATTGATAAAATAGAAGTCATTAGTAAATTGTACACAGCACTGTATAAGTAATTATAAACTACTCTTTCTAAACCTGGGGTTTTAATTAAGAAAAAAATTTTGGAACCAACTGTCATAATGTTCCCTGAACAGGATGCACTGAGAATACAATGCCAATAATGTAGTATTCCTGCAAAAATGATTAAACTAAATATACTGATAAGGAAGCAATCAGACAAATCCTAATTGAGATATTGTGCAAAGCAACTAGTCTATGCTTTAAAAAAAAATGTTGGTGTAGTGAAAGAGGAAAAAAGTAAATGGAAAATTGTTTTAGATTAAAGGCAACTACAGACAGGATGATTAAGTGCAATGCATGATTCCTGATCAGATCTTAAATTTGAAAAAGAGATAACCCCTCGGACTACACCCAAAGGACTTAAAAACAGCATACTGTAGGGACACAGCCACATCGATATTTATAGCAGCACAATTCACAATAGCTAAACTGTGGGAGCCCACCTAGATGCCCTTCAGTGGATGAATGGATAAAGAAAAATTTCTAAGTTTTATACACAATGGAATTTTACTCAGCAATAAAAGAGAATAAATCATGGCATTTGCAGGTAAATGGATGGCATTGGAGACGATAATGCTAAATGAAGTTAGCCAATCCCAAAAAAACAAATGCCAGAATGTTTTCTCTGATACAAGGAGGCTGACTCATAGTGGGGTAGGGAGGGGGAGCACAGGTGGAATAGATGAATGATAGATAGGGAAGAGGAGTGGGAGAGGATGGGAGGAGGCAGGGGATTAGCAAGGATGGTGGAATGTGATGGACATCATTATCCAAAGTACATGTATATAGACACAAATTGTGTGTCAACCAACTTTCTATACAAACAGAGATATGAAAAATTGTGGTATATATGTGTAATAAGAATTGTAATGCAAAAAAGTACATGTATAAAGACATGAATTGGCGTGAACACACTTTATATACAAAGATATGAAAAATTGTGCTCTATATGTGTAATAAGAATTTTAATGTATTCCACTGTTGTGTATTTAAAAAATAAACTCAATTAAATAAAAAAAGAGATAACCAATAAGAAACATGTTTGGGACAACTAGAGAAACTGAATAGAGGTTGTATGTTATACTGTAGTATTACACTAGTGAAAAATTTATCTGAATTTTGTTTTGTTTTGTTTTCATTTTTAAATATTTTGTTTTAGTTGTAGTTGGACATAATACCCTTATTTTATTTTTATGTAGTGCTGAGGATTGAACCCAGCACCCCACAAATACTAGGTGAACACTCTACCACTGAGCCACAACCTTGGCCCCTGAATATGGTTTTTAATAATGAAAATTAGGAGAATTTCCTTTATCTCATGGGATACAGGCTAACATGAGAGTGAAGTGTCAAGATCTCTGTAATAAACTCTCAAATGGTACAGTAAAATAAACACAGAGAAAGAGAAAGAAAAAGTAAATCTTGGAAAGTTATAACAAGGGCAAATCCAGCCAAAGGGCATACTGCTATTCATTGTACTATTTTCACAATTTCTAAGTTTAAAGTTTAGACTATATTTGAAAATGTACTAATTTGATAAAGCAAAGTGATGGTGTATGAATTTATATTTTTATCACTAGTGAAGATGAATTTTTCATATTTTTCTTTGCAGTTTAGATTTGTCTCTCTTATCTGCCCATATCAATACATTAATTCATTCATTTAAAACAATAATTTATTAAGAGTCTATCACAGGCCAAGAGTAATTCTTCACACTGAGGCTACTGTAAATGAAGCATAAAAGAATGCTGCCCTCAGAGAGCTTGAATTGTAGTGGAAAGGCAGACAGCATCAAATAAAGAGAAAATTTGCATTTGGTCTGTTCTGTATCTCTGTGCCATGCGCTGGGGATATGCTAATGAATTTAAGAGTA